AACCAAAAAAAAAAAAAAAAAAAAAAATTGTAGGCACAGAGGCAATCTACAGAATGGGAGAATAAAATGTAAACCATATATCTGAGAAGCAGTTAATTTCCGAAACATGCATATTATAGGAAAAAAACAAGATAAAAAAACATGGGCAAAGCAGGAGTTCGAGCTGTAGTGAGCTATGATTATGCCATGGAACTCCAGCTTGGAGGGGGAGGGGAAGAGGGATCAAAGGTCCTGAGTACACATTTTTCAGGTATATGAAAAGGGGCTCAACTTCACTGATCATCAAGAAATTGCAAATCAAAAGCACAATGAGATATCACCTCACACTTGCCAGGATGAGACAAAAAATGTTGGTGGGGGGACGATGTGGAGAAAAGGGAACCCTGGTATAGTCAGTGGAAATGTAAAATAGTGCAGGCCACTATGGAAAACAGTATGGAGGTTCCTCACAAAGTTAAAACTAGAACTACCATACAATCCAGCAATTCCAGTTCTGAGATAAACACTCAGAAGTGGGATCACTTCAGGATTTCAAGACGACATCTGAAATCTCATGTTCACTGTGGCATTATTAATAATAGCTAAGTAATGGAAACAACCTCAATGTCCAACAGATGAATGGGTAAAGAAAATGTGTTGTGTATGTGTGTGTGCATAGTCGAATATTATTAAGTCTTTAAAAAGAAGGAAATCCTGCCATTTGCAATAACACAGATGGACCTGGAGGACATTATACTAAGTGTAAGAAGCCAGTCACAGAAAGACAAATACTGTATGATCTCACTTATATGTGGAGTCTAAAATAATCAAACTCATAGAAGCAGAGAGAAGGGTGATTACCAGGTGCTGGAAAGAGGATTGAGGAGGCAATGGTCAATCTCTAGCAACAAAATTTCACTTACACCAAACAGGTAAGTTCTGGAGACATACTGTATAGCAATTCACCTACACCTAAGAACACTGTATGGTATACTTAACATTTTCTAAAGGCATATGTTTTATATTAAATGTTCTTATCACAAAAATAATACCAATAATACAGTAAGAGGGAAACTGGGAGTGAAGGGTAGATATGTCTGGCCTTGGTGGTGGTGCTGGTTTCACAAGTGTATACTTATCCCCAAACTCATTGAGTTGTATACGTTAAGAACAGCCATTTATATGTCAAAAAATAATAAAAATAAAAGCTTTTTTTTTTAGATTGGAAAATATGGTTTATTCAGAAAGTAAATTAGAGAGAAAGAAGAGATTCACCTCCACAAGGTAGGAGAGGGGCCAAAGCTTAGGAAACACGTCCTGGCCAGTGCTCAACAAAAACAATGGCCAAAAATAAAAGCTTTAATAGTGGGGGGGAAAAAGAAAATATTCCAACAACCTGCAGAATATATCCTATGTTTATCCCCCATCCTACATATTCACTACTTGGGAAAAAGGCAAACTATTGGAAAAGCTCCTAGTGCCATGGTTTTTTAAAGCAAATGAAATGTCTCTAGACATAGTGAATGAAAAAAAGTCTAAAAACAGAGGGGAAAGAAGAAAAAAGTCAGTATCAAGTATGGTTAAGCACAAAAGCAGAAAAGGCGGAAACTCTTCAATTACGTATCTTACAAAGAGGAATACATTTCTTCCTACAAAAATAAGGGTCTTCTCAAGAAATACCGTGGGCAATCCCATTTCCCATCTAGTAAGTCTTCACAGATACTAGCAAATTTCTGTTATAGACTCCATGGACACAGAAGGTACATTTAAGTAAATCAGAAAAGGTGAATGAATCAGACATGCTAAATTCCCATAAAACTGGAGAGGAAGACCTAACTAGACTCAAATCAATCCACTTCAGAAATATACAGCAAAGAAATATACAACCAGCTTCATAAAGTTAATAAATTCAGAATTATAATTTATCCTCTTCTAAAGGTCCTGTCATTACATAAGAATAGTACGGCTCTAAAATCTCTCAGAGAAAGCAATTAGATCATTCCATCATCTACTAGAGCCATAACATAAACCTTCCTAAAACTGAAAAACAAATATTTCAAAGTAAATATTCAGCAGCCTGTTATCTGTGGTCTTTTAAGACATTTTAAAAGGGTCTCTCAAACAAAATTTAATTAGTACTCTTCTAGAAAACGCTCTAATATCTTTCACTCTTCTAGCAATTTAAAAGCTACCAAATGTCAATTTCCTCATTATATTATTGATTCCTTGCCTTTTAACATCTCCATAACAGCTGCTTGACAAATTACCTCACCTTATTCCTCAGGGGGTAAGGACAGCATGATATCCATGAACTCAAAAATGGGACCACAAGCTGATTGCTGATAAATGAGCTAATTGCTCCAGAAGAGTTAGACACTGCTCTAATAGACTAGTCATTCATAGCATAATACAATTAGACGTTTATACGCTAAATATTCTATCTGTCCTTAGTGTAGACCTTTTCTTACATTTACTTTCATCTTAAAATACGCGATAGCATCAGAAAGCCAAGAAGCATATACATGTTTGGCATAGTTTATACAGAAAGCCTAGTCTATAGGATACACATTCTGAACAGTTTGCACAACTTTCAGATTTAATTTTATTTCAACCTAAGAGATCTGTAAGCCCCCAAAACAGTATATTAAACAGGGCAGTTCTAAAAGTAATTTTTCAGACTTTTAGCAAATAAAAGCCAAGAAGATTTTCAAAGATACAATACAAACATATTTCAGGCTAGTATGGTACAATATATCTGTTGTATTTGCCTAGATCCTTCTGCTGGGTGTTAAAACAATATGAGACAAAAAACACACACAAACCACAAGCTTGTAGACCCTATAGAAAATAAAATACTGCTTTCTCCCCTAAGAATAACAAGAATGTGAACTTTAAGGAGCATTTTTAACGAACAGCATTTTTCAGCCAAGTTACTTAGCAAGTTAACCTTTCTAGACAGAAGCAATACACTCTTCTCTGAATTCAGAAGCTATTTCATAGTAACACAAACCTAGCGATTTCTTTAAAATAAATATCTGTGCTTAGTTTTACACTGTAGGTAATAAAATTTCAAGTTCTTTCCCTTTTTTAAAAAAATTATCACCCGCGTCTTCCAATGTCATTTTGCAATTAATTTTATGACAACGATGGTGTCAATTCATCTTATGTAATATATTATCATAACAAAAATGTAGACATCCACGAAACTATATAATTGTGGGATGATAGTGCTGACTGCCCAAAAACATTCGACTTGTTTCTTTCGACATCCTCTTTTTGTGACCTAAAAGTTCTGATCCCTACGAGAATCTGTTAGCTAGCTGGGTGATCCTCCAGCTACAATACTATGTTTGATCTCTCCTGCCTGGAGAGGCGACAGCTTGATTTTGTTTTTAAAGTTGGTAAGTCAGAGCAGCTACAAACTTTTTTCAGCATCCCTGCCCGGCTGCCAACTGGAGCTCTGTTCACTTCCTCACCAACTTGAACCACCCCCAAACTGAGAGTAAGCAGGAGTTAGACAGCGGCAGTAACTGACACACTTGTAAGAAGGGTTTGACACCGCAGAAAACTTTCACTTCTCCCATCCTTCCACCCAAGGAGGGACTCCGGTCCTTCGCTCTTGCCTCCCCTAGAATTCCCCTCTGAGGCAGGACAAGGACACGGAAAGCAGATAGTTCGAATGCTCCCGAAAGGGACCCCACAGCCTTCTCTCCTGGGCTCCAATGCTGTTCTTTACACAAAAGAGCCAGCAAAAGCAAAAGGGTTCGAGTCGCGGCCCCTCTACCGGGTGCCATCCTTCACCTCGCCCGCAGACCCCGTCTCAGCAGCCCGAGCGGTCTCCACTGGAGGTTTCCTGCCCCCAACCCGGCCAGACAAAGCCCCGGCGGCCGGGCCGGCACTTCCAAGCCTGCGGACTCGGGCCGCCGCGCTCTTACCCTGGCCTCGTCCAGAGCGACGCCGGCGCCACCGCTTCCCCCGGCCTTGGCGGCGGGGCAGCTGGCAGCGCGGGTCTTGGAGGAGCGGGTCCGAGAGGAGATGAAATGGCTGCTGCCTCCGGTCGCCCCAGGCTCTGCTCCGGCCCCAGGCCCAGGCCCGGGCCCAGGAGACTTGGATCCGAGGAGGCGCAGAGAGCTCTTCCGGGTGTTCACCATGGTCCAGCCCGGGGGACGGAGTCCACGCCGCGCCCGGGAGAGCCGAGGGAGGCCGGCTCGCCGGTCGGGCAGTCAGGGCCAGTGCAGCCGAGCCGGGCGGGGAGAGACGAGCCGGCCCGCACTCTGCGCAGCGCAGACGAGGCCAGGAGAGAGCAGGGTCGAGGAAGGGAAGTGGGCGCGAGAAGGCAGGGAGCCGGAGGCGGGAGCAGCGCTGCAGGCCAACAGCACAGACCCTCCGCCGGCTTCGCCCTCCTCAGCGGGAGCCGAGCGGAGCCGCCATGTCTACCCCTTTCTCTCTCGTTCTCGCTCTCGAGCTCCGTGCGTCAGGGCTCCAGCGCCGCAGGGCCAACGGGACCGCTTCCGGCCGCAGCCGCGGCGGGGCGCTGCAAGGCAGCCCAGACACCCCTTCCCGGCTTTTCCTTCACTCCTCCCGGCCTCCAGCGGCCCCGCCCCCGGCGCGGCGTCAGTGCTCGGCGGCCACCGGAGCGACGCTCTGGGCTGTGTCAGCTCTATGGTTTTCCCGGTCTCCCGGCCGCCTAGGCTGGGGGGATGGGAAAAGCCAGGCAGAGCTGGACGAGTGCGGGCTTGGGGCTTGGTTCTGGAGCCCTCACTCTAACCAGGCCCGAATACCGCAGACACCCCCATCTAGATGGCCTGGATGGAGCAAGGAACGCTGGCGAAGGCGCGGGGTGCAAAGGGGGACGGTGAGGAGGGCGCGGGGGTCTGAACAGGAGTCCCAGAGCTACCCAAGGCAAGACAACTTGAGTCGCACATTTTCACTTTACAAACGAGAATGACAACTGTGATAAAATAGATCTTTGCGGTATCTGGAACAGAGTAAGCCTAAGAAGAAAAAAACCACACTAGAACCCTGCGTCTTGAAACAAAGCGAGGCAGGATCGTTTCCTATAACCTTAGCCAGATCTAAGGCGGAGTCAAAGAATGAATTTCGAGAGCCCCTTTACCCCCCCACCCCCACTCACTGCGGAAGAATTAGAAATAGGAAAAGCTGAACCCAAAGATAGAAAATGTGTAACTTAATTTCCAAAGGAAAAAAATTAAGCTACACAATATGAAAAGTCCTGCTATAAAGTAGGAATCATGTTCATTTCAAAAATTCACGGTACATTAGAAATAGAACCTACTAAGAATTCGGCAGAAGTTTATTAAACTTTTTTAAACTAAGAAAAACTGAAGAATTGGGCAGGACATGGTGGCTCATGCCTGATATCCCAGTGTTTTGAGAGGCCCAGAGAGAAGGATCACTTGAGACCAGAAGCTGAAGACCATCCTAGGCAACATAGCAAAACCCAGTATCTAACCCCCCCAAAATACGATTAATAATAATAATGAAAAGGAACAAAGAAAGAAAAACAGAAAACTCGAGAAGAGTCCTGTAAAAAAATCACCAAATGGCATCAAAATTAGAACATTTTTAGCCATCCAAGCTCCCAATCATTCCCAAAAACTGCATACGACGCTGGAAATGAGGATCGTTTTTCTCTTTGGGAGGTAGTATGGATTCCAGAACAGCAGACAAATTCTTCTTACTCTAATTTGCATAACACTCCCTCCCTGGACACTTCACTGACAGCCACCTTTTTTTTTTTTTTTTTTTTTTTTTTGAGTCGAAGTCTCACTCTGTCACCCAGGCTGGAATGCAGTGGCACACTCACCGTCACCGCAGCCTCAACTTGCTGGGCTCAGGTGATCCTTCCGCCTCAGCCTTCCTAGTGGCGGGCGTCACCACGCCCGGCTTTTTTTTTTTTTTTAATTGTAGAGACGAGGTCTTGCCGTGTTGCCCAGGCTGGTCTTGAATCCATAAACTCAGGCAATTCTCTCGCCTCCACCTTCCTAAGTACCGGGATTACAGGCGTAGCCACGGCACCCAGCAACAGCCGCCTTTTAACGGGTGTGGATACCTCTTGGTATTTGAATAGAATAGACGGTTCCGCCGGGCTCGGTGGCCTCAGCCTGTAATCCCGTGCCTTTGGGAGGCTGAGGTGAGTGGATTGCCTAAGCCCGCAGGTTCGAGACCCGAGTGGGCAACTTGGCGAGACCTCACCTCTACAATAAATCAAAATGAGCCGGGCGTGGTAGCGCGCGCCTGTAGTTCCAGCTACTCGGAAGGCTGAGGCGCGAGGATCGCCAGAGCCCAGCGGGTCGAGGCTGCGGTGGCCGGGAGCGGCCACTGCCCTCCAGTCTGGGTGACAGAGTGAGACTCCAACGCAAAAAAAAAAAGAAAAAAAAAAAGAATAAACAGTTCCATTTCCTGAAGAAAGAGGCTGGTTTTAAGTAGCTTATGAAGTGTCCTCGGGAGGTGTGTGGTATGCAAAAAGCATACAAAGGATGTGTGCTTTCCTCTTTGTTTTATTTTCGTGTTTGTAGTCCTAAATTGGGAAGACCCTATTACCATTTGGATAAGCTGTAACCTATACCATTTACTATCAACAAGTGTGTACTCTAAATCCAACCAGGCCAGGAAATATATAGATTTTAAAGCAATATACTTCTGACCCTTAGAGAGCTCATAGACAAAAAGAAAATGAAGGAGATAGGCAAGAAACCGGCAAGCTGCATTACAACGTGATGAGAAATAATTAGGCAAAGACCACTAACACAAGCAGGGATTTTAGGGAACGCCTCTGAGCGGCAACGACCCCTGAGGTGCATGTTGAACCACAAATGGGGGGAAAGAAACATGGACAGAAGAGAGGAAGGCTTGAAAAAGGTTCAGCCGGACTTGGTGGCTCAGCCTGTAATCCCGCGCTTTAGGAGGCTGAGGTGAGTGGATTGCCTGAGCCCGCGGGTTCGAGACCCGCCTGGGCAACTTGGTGAGACCTCACCTCGAAATAAATCAAAAAATCAGCCCGGCGTGGTAGCGCGCGCCTGTAATTCCGGCTACTCGGAAGGCTGAGGCGGAAGGATCGCCGGAGCCCAGCAGGTCGAGGTTGCGGTGGCCGGGAGCGGCCACTGCACTCCAGTCTGGGCGACAGAGTGAGACTCCAACTCCAAAAAAAAGAAAAAGAAAAAGGTATGGAAGAGTTTCCCATTTGCCACAGTATGTACTTGAGAAAATAACTAAAAAATTGATTAAATATTTTTAAAACTTTTTTTAAAACTATAGTACATGCAAGAGCTGGCAAGATACTAAGGAATACCCAGACCAAAAGCTAACTCATCACAGGAACCCAAACAACTAGGCAAAGCTCTGAAGGCAGCTTTCATTTTCACGCATTTGCTCAACCCCAGTAACTCTGACCATGTATTTTCTCTGCTTTCAAGAAAGGAAAAAGACAGAAGGCAAAGCTCACAACTTGCTCAGTGTTTGGAGTCTAATGGAATCATCCTGTAAAATCCTGGCACAAAAAGGATACAGCTAAGTGTAACAATGAATTAAACTAAGCCACCAACCTTCCCATCACTCATTCCTGGGAGACTGCCCAGAGAACTGCCTTTCCCAATACTGACACTAAGAATAGAGTGGGGTAGGGGAGAGGAGACATATTCTTTGAAAAGTCAAAATAACAAACTGGCCCTTAAGTTTACAGTCTGAATTCAACAAAGCAGAGAGGTATGAAGAACCTCAGGACAATAATTTAGGTTAAATAGGTTTGATTCAAAAAGTGATCCTGAGCATAAAGCAGAAGCGAACAAAAATCATCTCTGACAGGACACACCTTCAAACCGGGTGTGGTGGCACACACCTGTAATCCCAGCACTTTGGGAGGTGGAGGCGAGAGGATTCTCTTAGCCTACCGGTTTGAGACCAACCTGGGCAACATGGCAAGACCTCGTCACTACAGTAAATCAAAAAACTAGCCTGGCATGGTGGTGCACACCTGTAGTCCCAGCTACTTGGAAGGCTGAGGTGGAAGGATTGCCTGAACCCAGCAGTCTGAGGCTGCAATGACCGTGAGCATGTCACTGTACTCCAGCCTGGGTACACAGTGAGACTCCAACTCAAAAAAAAAAAATACACCTTCAACAGAAGGCACACAAAAATTAAGTCCCATAAATATGACTCACAGTAAAAAAAATCGCAAAAAAGAATCATCATGACAGCCAGCAAAAAAAATAGACAACAGAATGAGACCCACAGATTTATATTTAGATATGTAATATAAACAAAGGAGCTAGAAGGAATAAGATCTAGTGTTCAGTAGCAAATAGGGCAACTATAGCTAACAGTTTATTACATATTTCAAAATAACTATATGAATGGAATTTGAATGTTTCTAACAAAGAAATGATGAATACTTGAAGTGACAGATTTCCCAATTACCCTGATTTTATCATTACACATTATATGCTTGTATGGAAATATCACATGGACCCCATAAATATAATATACAACTATAATATATCCACCATAATTAAAAATAAAAACTTAAAGGAAGATTAGAAAACATATGCAAAAAATGACAAAGCAATTTTGAAAAATGAAATAGAACTTATAAAAATAAAAAGAAGTCAATGTATTGGCTAATGCCTGTAATTCCAGCACACTGGGAGGCCAAGGCAGAAGGATCACTTGAGCCCAGGAGTTCAAGTCCAGCCTGAACAGCACAGCAAGACCTTGTGTCTACAACAATTTTTTTCAATTTTTCCATACCCTTTTTTTTTATTAGCTAGGCTGGTGACACAAGCCTGTAGTCCCCACTGCTCACGAGGCTGAAGCAGAAGGATTGCTGGAGCCTAGGAATTCAAGGTTGCAGTGAGCTTTGATTGCACCACTGCACTCCAGCTTGCGCAACAGAGCAAGACTCTGACTCTAAAAATGAATGAATGAACAGAATACGATTTCTTAAACATGATAACAAAAGTGAGATTCATTTAAAAAAATTTTTTAAATCAAAATGTAAAACTTTTGTTTGGTGGAAAAGTTAGTTAAGACAATAAAAACCAAACAACAGACTGGGATAAAATATTTACATATTTCATAAAGAAATCATCTAGAATATATAAACAACTCTTAAGATTAAACATGAAAAAACAAGTAATCCAATTAGAAAAAGGGCAAAAGACTTGAAGAGATATTTCATCTAATAAAATATGCAGGCCATGTGTGATAGCTCACACCTGTAATCCCAGCACTTTGGAAGGCCAAGAAGAGAGGATTGCTTGGGTCCAGGAGTTTGAAACCAGCCTAGGCAACATAGCAAGACCTCATTGCTACAAAAACATTAATTTTAAAAAAATTAGCTGGGCATGGTGGCACATGCCTGTAGTCCCAGCTACTTGGGAGGCTGAGGCAGAAGGATTGCCTGAGCCCAGGAGGTCAAGGCTATAGTGAGCCATGATCATGCCACTGCACTCCAGTCTGGGAAAGAGAGTGAGACCC